TCTATGAATTTTTAGTTAGCAAATATGAAAATATTACTTTACTTTTTATGTTATCATAATAAATAAAATATTAATTAAAAAAAATTTGGTAAATTTATGTTTAAAATTGAGTTTGTATTTCTATTTTCTAGAGATTTTTTCTATATTGTAATTCAGTATACGCCCTGTTGAACTTTGCTTAAAAATCAATTTCTTTCTTTAACAAACTATTATTTCTATTCAAATAATAAACTAGTTTGTAGTTTTCTTTTATGTTTTTCTTAATATGTACTAGAAGTAAATGATAAATATGTATTTATGCAAGTCAATATCTATATGCATAGTAATGATGAAAGTTTTAAATTAATTAACTGACAACTATTTTCGAATATGAAATTTAAGTGACAAATTATTTTTTCTCTAATTCTAAAGAAAACTAGCATCATGAACTCATCTTCGCAACAAAAATTTAGTTATGTAGTATTAAAATTTCATCATTGTTATATGATTTAAAAACAAGAAATAATGATTTTTCTTTTTCAAAATCGTCCAATAAAAATCACAAAACTGTTTACAGCGCTGGTTGTCAGAAAGCGAAAACAATCTTTACTATCTTCTACTGATTCATATTATTAAAAGCAGCTTTGGTAAAAAAATTTATAAAATTATTAAACAATTTCTACTAACAACTTTTAACTGTTCTATTTTAAAATAATAAACATCATTAGTTTAAATAAAATATTTAAAATTAAATAAACTTGATAAATATTTTTAATAGTGCTAATAAAACTAAATAGAATTTTCAAAACAACTTTACTGAAAAAAAAATCAATTTAAAAACCTGCATGATTTTCTAGGGAATTAAACACATAATTTTGCTTTTAAAATAGCAATAAACTATGAAAAATTACTATGGTTTCAAACACACAATTAGTTTTAAAAATAATTAACTCACATTTAGTCTGCATATTACTTTTGTATTACCATGTAATCCTTAAAAAAATCTAGCTATTTGTTTAATTTTAGTTCATATTTATTTATTCATTCATTCATTCAGTCATGCCACCTTATCGTATGAGTAATATTTTATTTAGTTTATTTTTTTATATGGAATAAAATCAAACTCATACGTACTGTTGCATACGTACTAGAGCAGAGCTGGAAAAGAGAAATAGTACTAACTAAACTTTAGCCAAAAATGTACATTTTTAGTTATAAAAGTACTTAACTACTATCTTGTTATACATATATACTAGTTTTTTAACTATTGAGTTTTTTAACTATTGACTTGTTATTAAGCTAGTCTATTGACCTTTCTATGGACTAGTCTATTGGTTTACCAGACTATGGACTAGACTATTGAGTAGCCTGTTGATTAGAAAATAGACTACTCTATTTACAAGACTATGGAGTAGACTATTGACTGTGGAGTAGTCTATAAAATAATCTAGGAGCTAATTTGTTGCTTGTTCATGAACTGATCTATTGACTACACTATAGGCTATTGTATTGTATTAACTAAACTACTCCATAGTCAATTTATTAGAATATGGAGTAGTCAATTGGCTAGAATATGGACTATTCTATGGCTTGATTAAAGACTAGTCTATTGACTACTTAGACTACGAACATTTATTAAACTGAGGACTTGACACTGAGTTAGTCTATTTACTAGACTATGAACTAGTCAATTGACTAAAGTATGGAGTACACTATTGACTATACTATGGAGTAGTCTATTACTTGACTATGAACTAGTCTATTGACTAAACTATTGATTATACTATGGAGCAGTCTATTAATTAGACTATTGGCTAATATATGACTAGATTTTGCCGTGGTCTATTGACTATAATATGGACTAGCCTATTGACTGGAGTTGAGAATTGTCTATTGAGCCTATTGACTGGAGTTGAGAATTGTCTATTGATTAGTCAATGGTCTAGTCTATTGACTAGACTACGGAATAGGCTATCGATTAGAATATGGAGTATACAACTGATCACACAGTAGACTAGTCTAATACTAGACTATTGAGTAGTCTATTGACTATACTATGGAGTAATCTACTGACTAGACTGGAGTAGGCTATTTATTAGAATATGGAATAGTATATTTACTAGACTATGGAATAGTATATATACTAGGCTATAGAGTAGTATATTGACTATGTTATGGAGTAGACTATCCACTAAATATGGAGTAGTTTATTGACTAGTCTATGTAGTAGACTATTGACCAGTCTATAGAATAGACTATTTATTAGACTATGGAGTAGTATATTAAATAAACCAAGTACTAGACTATAGAGTAGTATACTGACTACTCTTTGCAGTTGTCCATTAACTGGACAATGGAGTAGTCTATTGACTAGACTATGAAGTAGACTATTGACAAGACTAGGGAGTATACTATTAATTAGACTATGGAGTAGAATATTAATTAAACTATTTACTAGACTATGGAGAAGTCTATTGACTAGACTATGGAGTGGACTATCGACTAAACTATGGAATAGTCTATTGATAAGGTAACAGGCTAGACTATGAAGTATTATATTGACTAGACTTTGGAGAAGTCCATTGACTAGAGCATAAACTAGTATATTAACTAGACTATGGAGTAGTCTATTGACTGGACTTTGGAGTAGTCTATTGATTGGACTATGAACTAGTCTGTTAACTAGACTAGACGGAGTAGTCTATTCACTACTCTTTGTAGTATTTCATTGACTAGACAATGGATTAGTCTGTTGACTAAACTATGAAGTAGTTTATTGATTAGACAGCAGACTAGACTATAACGAAGTCCATTGACTAGACTACGAACTAGTCTATTAACTAGACTACGGACTATTCTTTGTGGTATTTTATTGACTAGACTATGGAGTAGTCTGTTAAACTACGAAGTAGTCTATTGATTAGACAGCAGACTAGAGTATGACGAAGTCCATTGACTAGACTCTTTGTAGTATTTCATTGACTGTAAAAAAGTACAATAGTACTGAATATTCATCTTTGATTCAGAGTCATTTTATTTATTCAAACTGACATATTGTATTTAATGGATTCATATATTTTATGACAGTGTTTATTTTTGCACAAACAACAACACAAACTTCAACTAACTCAATTAACATGAATGACATGAAATAATTAACAGGTGTATAACTATATACATACATATGTATGTATATACAAATGTATGTCCGTGTGTTTGTTAAATAAATAAGAGAGTTTGTAAAATTACAATTTACAGTTGATTTTCATAAATGATGACATTTGCACACACTTATTAAAAAAAATGCAGCATATTTTTCCTGGTATTTTGCATGTAGTTTATTTTAAAATAATTTTGTTTTTCTGTTTATTTTATTTATTTTAAATTAAAATATTTATTTTCAAAATCCCAATTTGAATTATCTTAATTAATCATACTCATACTAGTATTTTGTGCATTTAGTTTATATATTAGCAATTTTAAGACACCTACCAAAACCAGTAGATTTTAATTTATATAATTTGATTATTTGTATTAAAATATTTTTAGCTAGAAAATTATTTCGTTTACACAAATAATTATTAAACACAATTTATTTGTGTGTGCGTGTATCCCGAGTAGATAAATAATTAAATAACCGTAATGGATTTATGAAAACTTAATAAATATAAATTCATATTTGTATGTTTGTATGTATATTCAGGCAATTAAATTGGTAAATTGTAAATATATATGTATATAAATACATTTGTTTATTGTGTATATAGCTAAAGAAATGAGTAAATATTTAAATAATAAATAAGAAGAGAAATCTATTATCTAATAAATCTATAAAATTATAGCTAAAATGCATTTTTTATGCTCAATTCTAGGTCTTAGGTGATTTATAATGTATAGAAATTTATTTCTTATTTGATTGTATTTTAATTAAGTCATTAATTATTTTGATTATGATTTTATAAATTTATTTTAGTTAATTAAAAATCTTTATCTTTTTTTAGTATTTGAGTGTAATTATTAAGAATTTCTAGTAGAATTTTAAAGTTATAAAGGGCCCCATCAAGTTCAAAATAATCAAAATTCATGGCACAAATATCTAAAATTTTTAAATTTTTATAAAAGTTCAAAATGTATTCTCACAGCCACTTATAATAAAATTTCATGATCATGTCTCTAAATGAATAAACAACTTCATATGTATGTCAAATGTTTATCAAACAAAATAACATTTCATTGCATACTTTACAGGGTAATAAAAACACGTTACCCTTATCTAGAAATGTGCTGCCAAAAGCTACAGCAAAAAAAACATTTAATTGGATATTGACCAAAAATCAACCAAACAAGATGTTTTTAATTTGAATTACTCATGGAAACGTTGAAAAAAAATATCTCAATTTGCATACAACTTCAACAATAACAAAAAGTTTTGTATGTGAATGTATGTATCTATCAGGTGAATTTAAGTTAAACACGAAAAGGAAACAAAAAAATATTTGTTTAACAAGTGTCATTTCATGGTTTTTCTTTATTTTCCAACAAAACTTTTATTTTGGTTTTTTAGAATACTATTTCAAACTGTTCAGGGGGAAATTTCGCCTGAAATACACTTGAAAATACACAGCCAAAATATTTAGTGATAAAAGTCAATACATGAATTGACAATGATAAATGGTTGGCAAAAAAAACTTTATTTCATATCTCTAGCTCTCTGTTCAGCATAAAAAGCAATTAAAATATTTATTTCTCACCATTGAATATTTTCAATAAATAGAACAAAAAATACAAATTGCCCCTAAACAAAACCCACCCACTAGGAGGTAACAAAGAGTTACAAGGCCAGTTAACTGTCTGTAAATAGTTTGAAAAGTTGGTTTTTGAAAATTTATATAACTGATGCTAGAATTTATGTTTTTATTTGGTATTATTTTATTATAAGTTGTTGAATTTGTTTTCCTTTGGCAGATCGTTTTGTAGATAAATTTAGTAATTTTATTTTTCTCTTTTATTTTCTCTCTTAGACGTAATGGAGCCGCTGGCAGTTCATCGCAGCCATTACGGCCCAATGAGGATGGTAGCCATCATTTACAGGAGTATACTTATAAAAAGATAACAGCCTGTGATGTGTGTTCACAAATATTAAGAGGTAAATATGATGGACATCAACTAGAGCCAAGTCTAGAGCAAAAGTAGACAAAGAAAACAGAAATCATAGACTTTCAAATGTTTTGAGAAACATTGACATATACAAAACATTAACATAGAATTATACACAAATATTGACAAACTCATGTTAATGTATTAGCTGATGGTATAAGGGAAGAGACAAACAGAACATTTCTCGCTCAAATTCCTTTGTAGTCTTTCCGTTTCCGATTTTATAATAACTCCCTCACTTTCTACTAGTACCAGTACACACTAACATATTACTACAACTAACCTTTACTTACTTCTTTTTTTCTCTCCTTTAGGTCACACACGACAAGGTCTACGTTGTCGTATATGTAAGTTAAATGCTCATGGCGATTGTGCCTCGCAGCTGCCACGTTGTCAGCCGAAACAAAAGTTGTTGAGACGTCAAAAAAGCACTTCGGAATTGGAAAATCGTATAGATATCGAGGAAGAAAGTGAGTATTTGTTTTAAAATTTTCGCAATAAATAAAAACACCGAATTTTACAACAATTTAATTTTTGCAAATAAAAACAAATTATAATAAATATTGAAAACAACAGCCAAATGCTTCAAAAAAAAGAAACAAAACTTAAAGGTCTTATAAAGGGCTAGTAGCGCCTTTTTATTATTAAAGCAAAAAAAAAAAAAAAAACTTAAGGATTTCTTAATTTATGATTTAAACAGATTTTCGTTTGTTGATCTTTTTTTGTTACTTTTTTATTATTTACTAATATTTTTTTTTTTTTTAATTTTTTAACACTTTTTAATTTTGTTGTTTTTTCATGATTTTTATTTAATTTATTATTTTTGCTTTTTTTTATTCGTATTTACTAAATTAAAAAAAATCTCTTTGCCATTTTTTTATTTATATTGTATGTAATATTTAGTATAGTATTTGAGTTTGGTACGATTGTAAGTATGTGTGAGTGTGTGTGTCTGTATCTAATAAAATCAATATTGAATGAAACTAATGCTTTTAACCAAAAATAACTGTTGGTAAAAAAGGCATGTTATGAGTTATTAATACGAAATTGAAATTGATACTGAAGCTGATTTTTGTAACAACAGCTTTTAAGGGTTCTGAGCTTTAAAAAATTTATACATAAAACTAAAAGTTTAGGTATAATAAAGAAATAATTTTTTGATTATAATATTACTAAACATTTTTTAATCATAGTTTTCTTTATTAAATTTAATTATGTTTTTGGGTATTTTTAAGTAAACTTAAAGCAAAAATAGATATCTACAAATATTGGCAGAGAAATTTATTAAGACACTGAAATATAGAAATATACATTAAACCCCATATAAATATGTAGACATGTTCCAAAAAATTAACATAAACGAAGGTATTGACAAGTTTTTAAGGTGAAGATACAGATATTTAGATTGACCTTCACATAGGCATAATATAGACATGACATGTCATAACACAGACATAATATAGACGAACATAGAAGTCAAATGGACCTAAAATAGACATAATATAGACATAACATAGATATGACATAATATAGACATAAAATAGACATAACATAGACATGACATAGATAAAACATAGACATAAGACGAACATATTAAGGCCATTGGCATAGACATAGTGTATACATAACATAGACATATCGTAGATATAACATAGACATAATATACCCATAGCATAGACATGACATATTCTTAACAACTTAACATAAACACAACATAGACCTATCATACATATAACATAGACATAACATAGAGACAACATGAACAAAACATAGACATGATATAGTCATGACATAGACAATAACATAAACATGACATAGACATAGACATAACATAGCCATAAGATAGACATAATATAGACATAACATAGACATAAAATAAACATGACATAGACATAACATTGATAGAATATAGACAAAGAATATACATACCATAGACAGAACATCGACATGACATAGACATAACATGAATATAACATAAACATAACATACACATTACATGGACATTACATAGCCATAACATAGACATAACATTGATAAAATAAAGATATAACATCGACATAACATTGATTGAACATAGACAAATAATATATATAGCATAGACATAAAGTGGACTTGACATAGACATGAAATCGACATAACATAGACATAAAATAAATATGACATGGACACGCCATAGACATAACACAGTCATTATATAGCCATGACATAGACATAATATATACATAACATAGACATATTATAGATATAACATAAACATAACATAGACACAATAAAGACATAATATAGCCATAGGCATAACTTAGACATATTATAGACATATCAGACATATAGCATAGAGACGAAATGGACAAAACATAAACATGACATTGATGTACCAAAGGCATGATATAGACATAACATAGACATATCATAGTTATAGACATAACATAGAGTCAACATGGACAAAACATAGAATATAGACATAACATCGACATAACATTGATAGAACATATACAAAGAATATACATAGCATAGACATAACATGGACATGACATAGACATGATATCGACATAACATAGATATAAAATTGATATGACATGAACACGCCATAGACATAATACAGACATAATATAGACATGACATAGAGATAACCATAACATACACATAACATAGACATAACATACACTTACATAAATATAACATAGTCATAACATAGACATAATATAGTTATGTCATAATATTGCTATTAATATGGCATGAACATTTATATATTTATACTCTACACCACTATAGTGTGAAGGGTATTATGCGTTTGTGATGATGTTTGTAACGCATTAAAATATTAGTACTATACCTTAAAGTATACCGATCGACTCAGAGTCACTTTCTGAGTCGATTTAAAGATGTCCGTCCGTCCGCCCGACCGTCCATGTGTCCATGTAAACGTTGTTATCAAAGCATAGCATTTTCAAGAAAATTTGATAAAAATACACGTTTGTTTTGACCCAACTACGTAGCCTAATGGTTAAAATCGGTCCATCATTTCACCTAGAACCCATACAACAGAACCTCCCGAAAAGGGCTTTTGAGCTCATAATTATGTATAATATAAATATATCTCGATGCCGAATGCCAAATTTCGAAATGATCGGGCTTCATTTGACCCTAGCCCCCATACAAAGCCCCCTTCAGAAAATGACTTGAGTATTCGCAATTCATTTATTAGCACTGTTATTGCAATGAAATTTAGCACAGACAAATAATATATATGAATACAAATCTATCCAGCCCATTTTATCGGGATCGGTTCACATTTGCTTCTATCCCCCATATAAAGCCTCTTTTAGAAAATAAGTTTTTCGCCAATAAATTGCTTAAATAAATCGGAATCAAGGTAATATTCAAGATAAATGCTTTATTTTGAAAAATAAATCACATTTCATATTCATAACTGGTGTAGGGTATCATATGGTCGGCCAAGCCCAACTATGCATTCTTAGTTCTTTTTTCAATATTTTTTCCTTTTAATACTTTGACATTAAAATATTTGTCTTAATTAAAAAAAAATCTATAATTAAGTTGACATCAAAAGTTAACTAAAATGAACTGAATCATACTTTAACAGACATATCAGATAAATAGTTAAATTTTTCCTTAAAAAATCCTGTCTGCACATGTGAACTTTCTCCACCTCCAGCACTCATATTATTATTAAATAATAAAATAGCAAACAAGAAGAAAAAAGTTATATAAAATTGATTATCAAATATTAAATTTGAACATTTATGGACAGTAAATGTTCAATGACCATTTTGATTTTTTTCTATTTTCATTCGATTGTATAGCAAAAGTTATAGCTCGAAGATATTTATTTCACATTATACTTTTTTTTATTAAATATTGATTTTATTAGATAAAGAAAACATCAAAATAATAAAGAAGAATAAAATACCATAATATTGATAATAAAAATATATTTATTTTTCCAAAAAAAGTACTAAAATAAAAAAGGACCTAAACACATACAAACATACATACGACATATGAAAGTTTTGCAAAGGAAAAGCATGATGACAAAACAATAAATATAAATGGTTGTGTATTACATTAGATTACAAAACATTACATTTGATAACACACAATACACATTAAATGTTAATAAAATACAATAAAAAAAATAATATTAATATTAAACCACTGCCACAACAACAACTGCTACTAAAACAAATTAGATATGAAATAAAAATGAATTAAATTTTACTCTATCGACCAATTCTATTTACTATTAAAAAAAGTGTTTATCTAAATGAACATATTTCTTAATATTAATGTATATGTGTATTGTGTATATTGGAATGTGTGGTGACGACTTAGTAGATGAGGACAATGCAGAGCTGACGTTTCAAGAAAATGAAGCAGCTGCAGCCGCATCATTGCCAGCGAAAAAATTTCGTCAAAAAACACCATTCATCGAACGCATTGCTCAATTAGGTATTTGGGACAATAATAAATCAAAACAAAATTAGTAATTTATTGATACCGAAGCGAATCAATTTAGATGTATTGCTTAAACAAATTTGTTATATTTATACTAAAAAAATGCTAACTGATATACATATTTACAAATAATTATTAACTATAACTATAAACATAGAACTTAGCAGCTACTAAAAATATAATTATTTTAAATTTTATGTTTTTGTTATTTATAACAAACATGGGGTTTATACATAAACGTTTTTTAAATATGCCAAAAAATTAAAAAACAAGTAAAATTTTTAAACAAAATGTAGTTTTTAATTAATATATTGGATTCATGGTTTATTTATTAACTACTATTATAACCCCAACTGTTTGTGTTTTAAGCCAAGTTAATATAAATTGCTTGCTTTTTATACATAATTTAACTTTTCATTTTATAATTTGAAATTTACACCAACAACAGTTAAACAAATACAATTTAAAACTCATACAATAACAAAATTTCAATTTCAAAAATATAATTGACATTCATTTATACTTTTTGTTAGAGAACAAGAGTAACCAAAAAAGTAAATTTAGAAAAAGCTCAAAAATTAAGCATTTATCTTGTTCCTTTTTTTGTTCTCTCACACACACATACATATAAATGTATAAAAAAATATATAAAAAATAATTATTAGTGGAGCATGTGTTGAAAATCAACAGTTAATAGTCAATGAAATGAAAAACTTTTTCATAACTCTCAGCTTCATTATTTTTTTTTATATATATATAACCATAATAATTACTACACCAATAACAATAACAACAACTAAATAAAAGTTAACGAATTATGAATGAAAGTTTGTGTATGAATGTGAAGAGTGTTTGAGTGTATTTGTGAATTTTTAAAGGTGAAAAAGGAAAATAAAAGCACATCTTTAGGCGAGTTGGTTAGAGTTTAATCATGATTATAATCAAAATATACATTAATTTTATACTTATTTTTTTAGTTCATTCATCTTTACAA